ATACTGCATTATTTAAAGTTAACAAATCAAACCTTATTGTAAAGTGTTACCATTATTTTAAATGTCTGAACATCTCACTTTATTAATGTGTAGAATAAAAGGCATGTTGCCAATTTACTACAAGCTAAACATACTTCACACACACAGTCCTGGGGGGAAAAAGGGCCAAGCCCAAAACGGCTACACGCTTAGTTTTAAGAATTAAGCAAATGCACTCCTTTAAAAGCCATTGCTGTCTCAGAAAAACATCAACGACAGAATGACGTTTTTGGCAGAATATGCGAAGTTTGATTCTGAGTGATTCAGCAAAGTTGTGTGGAGTGATGAATCGTGATAGAAAGGGATATGCACCAGAGCGGTGTCTTTGAAGATCTGGTGAGAAATACAAAAATGAATACATCTCTACCACAGTGAAGCATTATAGGGGTGTGCGATATTGACAAAAAATTATATCTCGATATTTTCTGGGATTTTATCGATAACGATAACTAGACGATATTTTGCTGAGTGTGTTATTGTGCTGGTATCTTAAGGACTGCCGAAGACAGCTGACTCCTAATGTTTTTAATATTCTTCATATTCTGTGTGGTGGTCAGCTCATACTGATAGAAATTAATCTTTTCCAGTAAGTTTAAACTGAACAATTACGATATTATCTCAGACGATATATATCGCACACCCCTAGGAGGAAGATGCGTCATTGTATATGTAGCTGCTGGTAAAAGCGGCAAAGCAACGCCGCTATGAGGACACAAAGCGAACTACGCCTCTAACAAGCCCACGTTGCATTCTGACACACTCGGTACCGATTTAAACGCACAGGACCCAAAATCAGACATATCAGAACCTCTAAACACCATCCTTGAGAGTCAAAGTAATCACTGTCATGCAATCATCAACGTGGCAATCGTCTACTTGACAAGCAAATCTGAATTCCCCAAAATCTGTTGAATAACTGTACCGATCTGTGCAGATGTCGACTAGTTTAATCATTAAGGTTAAAAAGTAGCCTACCTCGAACAGTTGGAAGATAACCAAGCGCAGGCTTCACCTGTCTGATCCAGAGAGCCCGTAAAAGGCCTTTCAGTTCCTGTCTGTCGAGGTAACAACTGTGTATTCTCGCTTCTCATTCGTTTTGCTGACTGTATCACTGATTTATTAATCAAAAGCCGTGATATATTTCTCTACATGACAAGCCGGTAATAACACAGCCACATGTTTCCATCAGCGTTCGATACGGCTCATACCAATGTGAGTGCGGAGGGGGGTAACAATATTGCTCGCCGCCATTATAATATACAGTAAGAGACAATGACACCATATTATAAACGCTACCGTTCTTTTTAAACCAGTTGTAACGCAGAAATATGTAAATATAAAAGTATACGACGCAAAATATACAAAAGAGTAGTAATTCATTGCTAGTTTTCCCTGTGTGATGACATGTTCGGAAACGCACTGGTCAGTGGTCACACTGACGTAACATGTAGACGTAGCTAGCAACTTTGTGCTCAATACAATTCAGCAAGAAGATCCATCATGTGCATAGTTCAACATTAAAATGTAATAATTAGGACTATATAGTAGGCTATGGAATCGGATGGATTGTATGTAGTTGTTATCAAAATTATTCAACCCCCAGAGACTGCAGTAGTTTACAAATACAAGCTTTTCTGAAGATCCAGGACTTTATAACAAAAAAATTTGCATAACACTTTACTGGCATATTCAAAGAGATAATGTCAATATATAACGGAATATTTTTGAGTTATGAGATTCTTTAATAATACAGCTATATCATAATTATTCAACTCCTATTCAACATTGCTGTTTTTTAGTCACTTATTTGTATGCTGGGGAACAAAACTCTTAAAACACAATTAAACATTTAGAAAATCTATTAGAAAATAGAATTAGCTTGAGCTGTTACACATACATACAATTAGTCCATGCATGTGCTGAAGTTGAGTAGCAAATATGACAAGTTAACAGAGCGCTCACAAAAGCTATAGAACCTATACAGAAAAGCTACACAGAAACTGTACGTGTACTTTAGCTTCTGACCATGGCTTTATTACAGATCACGTAAATCATGAAGAATAAGATTGAGGAAGATTGATGAATAAGTTTTATTTCTGACTGACATGTGATCATCAACGCTGCACTGAACTGCTTCGTTATTTAAACCATGTTCCTGAACTCCAAGCGACAATGCTTTGGCTCCTTTTGTGCATTTTGGATGTTCTTGTGGGTAAGACTTACATTTAATGAAAAGAAATTGAATGGCGTTATAATATACAACAGTGTCATTGTGTCATACTTGTATGCATACGTTGGAAATCAAGTAGGTTACACTAACTTGTAAAAAAAAACAAAACATTTAGAGACACAGAGGCTTTTTTATGTTGGAAATGCACCACAACCGTGGGATATTTTTAATTTTAAACATAATTAAAGAAATGTAAAAAAGTGAGAAATCAGATTTATTCAATGAATACTGGGATATTTCCTGTTTTCTTTTTGTTTTCATAGTTTTAACATAATAATATACATTTTTAGTTAAAGATTGAATGTAAGATTTAATGCAAAGAAATCACAAAGCATTATAATAAACACCTCTGATTCGATACAACCGATATACAGTGTCATACTTTTACATTTTGAAGGTTTGTTATACTAGACTGTCTTGATCTCTTGAACTTTAATTCAGTTTTTTTTCCTTTACAACTTACGGTCGTACTATAAAATGAAATAAAATATGCATTTTAAACAATATTATCAGGAAAGCACCTCAAATGCATGCCAATGGTTGCGGAGTCATTGTTGATACAACACTGCTGAGAGATGTCATGATTCGAAATTATGACATTTAGCTACAAAAAAAACATCTTTCTAAAATATTTTTCAAGCAATATTTAAAGATGAAATACTATTTCATAATATTATAATGTTTTACCAGTGAACGGTTACTTTTAGGGCTCTTAAAAGTGTTTTGTTTATGTTTTTGCTTTTACATCAGCTCAGGATTGTTTGGTAGTGAAGGGCTTGTGATTGTGCAGATTTTTGTGGTACCATTGCTGTTCAGTGTTGGTGTTTTAATGGTAGACCAAAGTATGAAGAAAACAAAAATTTCTTATGATATGATGACACCTTAGAAGTGTACATTTTTGGAGTGCCCAGGGGTGTTTCTTCAAGCAACTCTAAATTGTTCTCACTGTCTCTTTCCAACCTCATTTGAGGTGACTGTCCCTAATAAACATCTGCTGGCAATCCGAGGTCGTCCAGCTGTACTTGGCTGTGAGTTCACACCTGATCCTGACCTCTCCAACAACTCCAACAGTTTCTATTATCAACAGGACCAATTGGACCGACAGAGTCTAAAATACCACAATCGGACCTTATTGTATGTTTCAGAGCTTCATAAAGGATATGCCTCTCTAAGAATTGCAGCAGTTAGACCCAAGGATGCAGGCTGGTACATGTGCATAGTGAGCAACGCAAAGGGAACAGGAAGAGCCTTGATGGAAGTGACCTATGAAGGTATGCATGCATATGACAAACACTGGAGACAATATGTTGTAGTATACAATGTGCCCAGGAATTCCCAGCTTCGTTTTCAGTCACCAAATATAATCTATAAAATAAATATGTTTGGTATTTTTATTGATCATACCTGTTTAGTTTACAGAAATGGCAGCTAAAAGTCTCTTTTTTTTTTTTTGTTATTTGAAAAGTAATCCCAGTGATTAATGTAGGATTTGGAACCGAGAACCAGTTCCATTTCTAAAAATAAATAAAAATAATTTAAAGAATGCTGTTAACCAAACTGTTTCTGATAGTCATTGACTGTCACTCACAAAATCTGTTGAATAACCATACTGATCGGTGCAAATGTCCACTGGTTAATTATTTATATACAAAAGCAGTAGTAATTTGAACAGCTGTAAGATAACCAAGATAACTAAGCGCAGACTTCACCTGTCGGATCCTGAGAGCATGTAAAAAGCCTTTCAGTTCTTGTCTGCAGTCAGCAACAGCCTCCTTGTTCTAGGTCCTAATGCCTGTAAGGTCTTTCATTTATTTAGGGGGCGCTGTTGGCCTACTTGTAACAAAATGAAAGTAAATACACAAATAGCATGTCGTTAACATAACATCATTATGTTAATAAATAAAGCAATAATTGATGTCATAAAATCACGAGTCTGTTTACTATTAAAGTTCAGAAGCTTACATGAACAAAAATCGTAGCCATGACACTTATAAATAATTTTTTTTTAGATATAGCCTACAGATGCATTCATTACTGTACAACAGCTGCTCGCGTCCATAATATACTATATAAAACAATGACACCATATAATAAACGCCAGTGTTCTTCTTAAACCAACTGTTACTCAAAAACTAAGTCGGCTAAATATAAAAGTATAGCCTGCAACACAAAAGTTTCAATAACTCATGGCTGGTTTTCCCTGTGTGATGACATGGTCGAAAACGCTCTGATCACACTGTAAACGCTTGCTACAAAAATACCCATCACGTACAGAGAAAAACAAACAAGTTTAAAAAGTAATACTATTTAAATTAATACTACATTAATACTACAAAAATTAATACCTCGATTGATGTGTGTGTATAGGCTATATAGCCTAGCCTTGGATAAAAGTGTCTACTAAATGAATACATGTTAATCAAGGCAAATGTGCAAGTTTGCATATTACTGTGTTTTAGAGATTTCTTTAATCTCTGAATTGTTGGAGTCTGAAGTCTCTAATTTTGCTAATAAATGTCAGTTAAGTCTCTCCATCATTCGCATAAAAATGTATTTAAACTTAATTAAGCTTAAGACTTACGTTTAAGACTAAATTCCTGTTAATACTGCTGTTTTAGCCTTGCCCTTGTAAATAGTGACTGACAACACAAAAGCATTCATAATCTTCAAAAGATCTAGTACTAACTGCTCTTAGGTGGAGCAACGTATCTTGTAGGTGTGAGTTGTCCTAACTTGAGAGGAATGGAAACGGCGGGACGCTCAAGACAAGTACAGTTCTTCTTTAGTCTACTTGCGGAGCACACAGATACTGTACGTGTACGTTACTTTAGCGTCTGACCATGGCTTTATTACAGATCACGTAAATCGTAATGAATAAAATTGAAGAATATTATGAATAAGTTTCATTTCTGACTGACATGTGATCATCAACGCTGCACTGAACTGCTTCGTTATTTAAACCATGTTCCTGATCTCCAAGCGACAATGTTTTGGCTCATTTTGTGCGTCGTGGTCGTCGATGTTCTTTTGGGTAAGACTTACATTAAATGAAAAGAAATCGGAAGGCGTTATAATATACAACAGTGTCGTTGTGTCATACTGATAGGCTATGCATGCATTGGAAATCAAGGCTACTCTAACTTTTTTATTCACATTTTTAGTAAAAGATTTAATGTCTGGGTCTGGCACAATGATGAAGGGATGGTAACACGTTTCTAATACAGTTTTAATGTGACCTTTATTTAACTAAGGTAATTTTTTTAAACTGTTAGTCTTGGGAGATAAAAGTGAACTGAACTGAACTGAATCTTAAAATGTTTACTTGATTAAATGATGTCTTTCCTCTCCTGGCTCTAATCAAGTAAAATATTTAGGCAGAGCTGAATTGGAGTTAAGACAGAGATGAACGTGGTTGGTCTAGCTGTCCTGATGTTCTACATGTTCTTAAATATTTTTTTCTAGCAACATTTAAAGATGAAATATTTCAGAATATTATAGATGTTTTACCAGTGATCAGTTACTTTTAGGGCTCTTAAAAGTGTTTTGTTTTTGTTAGTTTGCTTTCACATCACAGCTCAGCTCAGGATTGTTTGGTAGTGAAGGGCTTGTGATTGTGCAGATTTTTATGGTACCATTGCTGTTCAGTGTTGGTGTTTATACACATTGGAGGTGTTTTTTTTTCCACTCTACTGGGTTTGGCTTTCTGATATGTGTTCAGTCCCTGCCCTAAAAATTACAGGGCAAAAAAGAATGTAAAGAAAGACTGCACTTTATAGAATGGCAAATATTGACTGAATTGCTATATGTAAGTATACTTATAGTCTATTTTGCTACTATTAGGGTTTTAGTCTTTTATATAGTTTTAGTGTAGAAGGGAGTAAAAGATTCTTCTGTGGTTCATTAAACAGGTTTTATCTCTTGATTACAGTCCTACTGTGGCCAGTTATATTTAGGGCTCTTACAAGCTTCAGATTAAGCTTTTTTTTTTTTTTTCACGTCACACCTCAGGATATTTGCCAGTGAAGAGCTTGAGACTGTGAACATTTTTGCTGTACCATTGCTGTCTATTGCTGTCCAAAGTTTATGTTTTCATATTTTTACATCAAAATATGAAGGAAAATACGATTTCTTACGATATGACCCCTTAGAAATGTGCCCAGGGGTGTTTCTTCAAGCAACTCTAAATTGTTCTCACTGTCTCTTTCCAGCCTCATTTGAGGTGACTGTCCCTAATAAACATCTGCTGGCAATCCGAGGTCGTCCAGCTGTACTTGGCTGTGAGTTCACACCTGATCCTGACCTCTCCAACTTGGTTGTTACCTGGCAACGACAGGAGGATGCACGGGTTGTCCACAGTTTCTATTATCAACAGGACCAATTGGACCGACAGAGTCTAAAATACCACAATCGGACCTCATTGTATGTTTCAGAGCTTCATAAAGGAAATGCCTCTCTAAGAATTACAGCAGTTAGACCGAAAGATGCAGGTTGGTACCTGTGCATAGTGAGCAATACAAAGGGAACAGGAAGAGCCTTGATGCAAGTGACCTATGGAGGTAAGCATATGATGAACACTGGAGAGAATATGATGTACAATGTTTCCACTTTCCAGGAGCTCCCAGCTTCATTTTCAGTCACAAAAATTAAACGTACGAAACATACAGCAGCTAGTTCAAGTCAGTACTTTTTGTTGAATCAGAAACACGCAGTGCATTTTGATACAGATAAAGGTAATTGTAAACAAATAGCCATTCATCTTCCTTTTTCACTTTATCTTTAAGTTTATCTTTATTTGAGGATTAAGTGTCCTGACAAATTTGCAAAATATGCCAACTGTGGTTTTGCTGTGGATGTATCATATTTCAGCTTTCTCACGGTCACGAAAAACCGTGAAATATAAAAATACATTTTAAATTTTGATTTCCTGTGAACATAAAGTGTTCTAGTTAGGCTTTACTGTAAAACATACGATCATCTAGACTTTACTTTATTGATAAGATCAATTGATATGCACTTTAGATGTAATTTTTTTTTTATTTAAAGGGGTCATCGGATGCAAAATTCACTTTTGTTGTTGTTTGAACATAAATGTGTGTTGGAAGTGTGTGTACACATCCATCCTATAATGATAAAAATCCACCCAGTGTTTTTTTTTGAAATCCCTATTTTAAAATTCCCCTTTCTCAAATCAAGCTGTTCTGAGGTTCCTGTCAGAATGACGTAGTTATGCACAGGCCGCTCCCACGATAGTTGATTGACAAGTCCGTCTTACCTTAAGACCCGCCCTGAGTGAGCGGAGAGCTGTCCGCCATTGTGTCGACTCCGGTGCAGGGGAAGACAAGAATGTCTCCGATTAAGCGATTGAGGTGTTTTGTTGTTGGATGTAATAATGAACATAGCAGTCGTCATTTACTCCCGACATCTGAAGACACAGAGAATTAACGTTACTTTCGTTTTTGAAAAGAATGCGCTGATCCCCGATCTGCCTAAATGCGTTTTAAGTTCACACGAATCATTCATGATCCAGCTTCATCGACAGAAGAAGTGAGTATAAGGGTTTTTATGAATCTTTGCAAATCGCCTTTCCTAATATGTGCTAGTTAGCAAGTTTCGCGGTTGAAGTTTACAGTCTAATCGTCACACCACGGAAGAGAGGGGCGGGGTCAGAAGAGCTCATTAGCATTTAAAGCAACACGGACTAGAACGGCGTGCTGAAAACAGAGCTGATTTTGACAGGGTAAAAAGATGGTAGTTTACACTACCATTGAGAAATTTTAACCAAAGTATGTTATAGACGTTTCATTAAGACCCTAAAGAATCAACTTGTGGAAAATGGGCGTCCGATGACCCCTTTAAGATGTACATTTTAACACTGCACAGCTGATTATGTTTGTCTTTCTCAGCTCTTTACTCTGAGCCCAGGTTAAGCATCCATGTAAACTCCTCTGCTTTGAAAGTGCAGTTTGAGACCGAAGGTTTTCCCAAACCTGAGGTGATCTGGCTGGGGGAACATGACCAGAACCTCAGTTATCACCTGGAGATCCACGGCCAGACAGAAGATGGACTTTATTTCATAAAGAGCATCTGTGAGGCCCAGAAGCCAGTGATTAATATCACATTTACACTAAAGAACCACCTCCTGAACCAGAACCTGCAGAGACCAGTGGTTTTCAGCTATGGTAAATACCTTTATTTACTGTGTGCAAATGGTGTGTGTGAGAAACTGGCAGTTAGAGGCATGTCATTCATTACTTTATGCAATTAAGGCATGTATGACTTGTTGCAAGTGATTTGTTGCCATAAGTTTTTTTTTTTTGCAATATAACAAAGAACTCCTTTGTCTGCTTTAGGCGAGATTTTAGACCTGTCTAACCACAAATAATTATGGAAAGATAAGACAATGATTCAGTTGATAGATAGACATGATTTTTTTCCTGTTATGAAACACTGATGTGAGTGACCGAGGTGGAAGCACATATTTGTACACTTTTTCATAATGTAGAAGAAATCAAAGGCAAATTAAATTCATCTAAGTTTTGAAGTATTTAAAGAGGCTTGGGTGTTGGTAACACAAGTTTGGGGTGTTATTTCGTGGTGCAGTTTCATCTTTCCTCTGCAGCACTGAAACTGACACTGTTCATTATATTGTTAGTAATTTTGGCTGCACCCTTTTCAAAACCAGAAGGTAATTACTAGCAATTTAAAGCTGTTAAACTGAGAATGACTCTGTGTTTTTAGATGGTTTGTCTGAATTAAACTCACTGTTATTTATCCAAGTATGAGATGTTCCTGTATCAGCACTCCTATTAACCAATAATTAATGGTTAATGGTTATGTTTAAGGTTAGCCTCTGTGGGCTATGGGCTTGAACTATCATTTCCATTTGATCTAACCCCTCGTAGGTGGTTTAACTACGGCATCCACCATGTGAACCCTGAACATCCTAAGCTCAAACCTTTACAGTTACAGTCTACTATACCCTTAATGTAAATTAAGTTGCTCCTGTCATAACAGCTGTGCTCTTTATGTTAATTAAGTTCTGACACCTAACTGTCTGAGATGTTCTTAGTGTCCCACACCCATTTCCCTTCTACAATTGGTCATCATTTGCTGAGGATGTGGTCATCCCAAATGATCTAGAAAAAAACATAACTGTTGACTTTCATCATCTCTATAATAATTAAGCCATTTTGGAAAATGAACATGATCAAACATCTATTGTGGAGTGGAATCTGGGTCGGAGCAGACAATAGTTTCTTTCACTGATCTTAACAACTTGTCTCCCGTAGCTTCTTTGGATTGTGAAGTGATTCCAGATGCACACTGTAGAATCTCGGAGTAATGCTGCGGTCACACTACACGTGAGCATGTGACATTTCTACGGACCCTGCAACGTTCATGATATGAAGTGGCATTCTGCAGCATCTTTTTAAAAAACTTGATTTTACCGCACAGCTGCAATCCTGCATATTTAAAGTTTGCATTCCTTTAACATGGTCACATGACTTAATGTGATGTGAATTCACTAAGCTTGACCTCCAACATTTGCATAATGTATGAATTAGTGTTGTCAAAAGACCCGGTATTTCGGTACCAAGTCGGTACTAAAAAAATGAAAACGTTACGGTACCAGGTTTTCTTAAGTACCGGTGGTACCGAGTACCCGGTCAACCCGGTTCTTGATGCGCTGTCCGAAAGCTATCCTCTTCCAGTGTTGCCAAGTCCGCGGTTTTCCCACGGAATTGGGCTGCTTTAACACTGTTGCCGCGGGTTGTTTTTCATGTCCGCGGGTTGAAAAACGACCCCACTAACGTGATATTTAGCCCCTGGAATGCGAATTTTACCAGGGGAACCCCGCCAAAACACGGGTACCGAATACTGAAATTTTGGTACCGTGACAACACTAGTATGAATGAAAGTCAGTGGAACAAAAAGCGTAGTGTGACCATCACATAATTAGAAGGTCATCCTCTGTATTCAGACAAACAGTACTGTTTTTCACGTGCTATATAGTAGTAAAGTAGGCATATTCAGATGCAGTATTGTAGTCTCGACTCACTACTAATGTGTCAGGAAATAAATAAAATTAAATTTGATTAGGAAGAGAGTATTGTGGTGTGCCTCCAGGAAAAGGGTTGGGAAACACAGATAATTAGCAGCCCTGGGTTTTTCCTAAAACATAAATATATTTCAAGAAATGGCATTGTGTCTTAATTGAAATCATGGCAGCTCTTTTGCAGTTGGGGGAATTTTATTGGCAGATTATGATTGCAGCTTCTGTAGCCTCATTACTATCTGCAAACATTGTCCATCAGTGGAGAGGAGACACCTTCTTACATTTATACAGCACAAAGGATGTGCCAGTTTGAGCTGATAAAAATTCTGACTAGCCCACCAGTATGTCAACAGGATCCGTGATATTAATAGTTAAGCAGTATTCAGTTTATTCAAAATATATTAGCCTGCATAATGATTGTTAGTTTTCCTCTGAGAGATTGTACATACTATATCCAGTATATAGTATATATCCAGGGTTTGAAAACTTGAGACTTTTTTGTAATAAGTTTGAATGATTTTGTGCAAGTACTGTAACTTTTTATATGCTGTGATTATAATACTGGATTTAGATTTGGATCTGGACTTAACAGTTGATTTGACACTATCAAACAAATACCACATATTGAACCAAATTATCTTTTTCTGTTTCAGATGAGGACACCACAGACCATATGATCATAGTACTTGCTGTCCTCTCAGTGGTTTGCATTCTTCTGGTTATTGGCATCATTTGGTTAGCAGTGCAGAAGCAGAACAAGCAGAGATCTTCCCTGTGATGAACCATGAGAGTTAATGAATGGTGATGTAGCTGTTCCCAAATGCATGCATGCTTCGACTTGTGCTAAACATTACTGGCATTCATGAAATGCAAACAGCACATGTTCATTAAACTGTTCTTGTGTAAACTGAAAATAATTGCAAAATGCGCTAATTTTACGCAAGAATGGATTTCTAAATCATTTACACAGATGTCAACAGATGTCAGAGACCATAAGTGGGAGTCATATGGGTGTGTGCAAAAAGTAATTTCTCAATCTTTTTGCAGCTTATTTATTAACCGTTGTGCAGTTTTAAAACATTTTTATAATTTTTTTATAATATTTTATATGGAATTTATTTTAAATATAACAATACCACCATGGATGTTTATTCTCACACTTTTAATTGTCAATTAAATATTTAATATTTTAACTACTGCAGAACATAATCCTGTACTGTACAAGGTAAAATTACTTCTTGTACATACCTTGACATAAGTAATACACTGAACATCTACATGTTTAAGTTTGTAATGGATATCTTAATCCGCAATAGAACTATGGAGACAATCAGGTGAATGAATGAATGAATGAATGAATGATGTATTTATATAGCGCTTTATTGTGTATTGCTGTACACCCAAAGCGCTTTACAATCATATGTGGGGTGGGGTGGGGTGAGGTGGGCTCACACCAGCTACAGGTGGAGAGCAAGAGAGAGAGCCAATTAAGTGGATGGGGATTATTAGGAGGCCATGATTGACAAAGGCCAGGGGGGCAATTTGGCCAGGACACCGGGGTTACACCCCTACTCTTTATGAGAAGTGCCATGGGATTTTTAATGACCACAGAGAGTCAGGACCTCGGTTTAACGTCTCATCTGAAAGATGGTGCTTTTTGACAGTATAGTGTCCTCGTCACTATACTGGGACATTAGGACCCACACAGACCACAGCGTGAGCACTCCCTGCTGGCCTCACTAACACCCCTTCCAAAAAACAGACACATAGGAATAGAATTTCATGAGGGCATCAGATTATCATCACATTTATATCCTGGTAGTTCACTTTAAAAAACTGAAATTCTGTCATCAGTTATGCATCTTCATGTCATTCCAAACCTGCATGACATACAGTACCTTCTTCTGTGGAACACAAAAGATTATATTTAGTTTTCAACTGTTTTGTCCACACATTGAAAGTTAATGAAATCCAAAACAACACTGAACACCCCTGACTTTCACTGTATAGGCAATAATACAGTGATTGCAGTACTTCCATCTCATGTTTCCATCGTCTGAAAATGAAAGACATTTGTTAGATGTTAGCTGTACATCAAAGCCTGTATCAGTCCTACATCATAACCATCATAGTGTTTGATTTAACACTATATTGAGGTCAAGCTTGAAGCACGTTATTTGAGGAGCGAATCCTAATACCCGAGATCTACTGATAAACTTTGAAGACCCTGCAGAGACATGTAGGAAATTCAATAACATCCTAAAAAGGCCCCAGTGAGCTTGGGTATTGAAAAGGTGCAGTCACCCTTGAGCATCAGAGAAATTAAAGTTTCTTTAATTTCATGAAACTCCTGAATATCCAGTTCAGTGGAAACTCTGTTCACACAGTGGTAGTGATACATTTCACAAATATGAATTGTTTATTCAGTCCATTCTTACAAAAAGGCCATAAAAACTAAGTGACCTGGGAAAAAATGTGTTGTATGTTTTGTTTTTGTTTTTTTGTTTTTTTGCTAAATGTAATCTCTGCAGTCAAATCAGTGACACATTGTAGCTTGAATGATGGTGGTTACACAACAAATCTGTACAAACAAACTTTTTGAATCCAGCTAGTTGCATGACTTGCTTCAAACATCATTCAGAGTAACCTGATGTTGATGGCTATTTTTTCCCACACACTACATTTAGAACAAATCACAATCCAGCATCCTTCTGTTAGCTTACCCATTAATTATGCATTAATACAATGTACTGTAGCAATAATTTCACATAGTTGTTTATTAATCAAATAAAGCTTGTGTTAAATGACTATGGCCTTCGGTTTCATCTTTAAGACGGTCTTTGTCTTGGTTAAAAAACAAGGAACTGTTTGTTGTTGTTTTTTAAAGAATCAAACAGTAAACACATTTCCTCCCATTTTATTTTGTTTGTTAACCTATGACATTATATACTTTTGTTTAAGTGGTAGTGTGGCATAAGGCTAAATAAACCAGTAAAAATAATTTTAAAATGACTGTTTTATTCTTTTCTTCTGAGGTGATCTGAAGCATGTTTTTTCCATTGGCATACAATGTGGACTGTTATTCTTATGACAACAAACATGACCTCATGCACACACTGCCTGCAGCAAATTCTGCAGGATTACAATGAATTCACAAACCCCTCAGATGTTTGAGTAATTTGATAATACTTCCAGCTGTTTTAGCTTTTTTAACTCATTTTACCATGTTTATATCCTTTTATAGTCCAGGTGATATTTGCAAACTTTTTGGTGATATGTTCCCTTTTTCATAAAAGCATGAAACTTGGTACAATTGTACAGGTTAGGGCCCTGAACATGTTCAGAAATGGAGCCGTCGCAAAAACACCATGGTGATTGCCATGGTGACCATTTTACTTTCGGCCATAACCAAATTATGTATTTTGTGTCATATCTCCTGACCCAAACATGATAACACAGAAAAGGTTATGTCTACCCCTATGTTTTGATGGTCAAGGATTACAGTGATACCATATACAAAAACATAAACTGTTCAGGTGAACAGTTAATGGTGAAATCAGCAATGTGAGAAGGAAATCACAGTATCTGAGCATCATAGTATCACAGCATTTACAAAAGTCCATATTATGGCTATTAGTTTTTTTTTTCTTTGATAATTAACTAATATTTTATTCAACAGTACAATAAAATGTTGTTTTAATTAAATAATTATTAATTCGTTACATTTATATAGCGCTTTTCTGGGTACTCATAGCGCTTTACATGAATCTCCTCAACCACCACCAATGTGCAGCATCCACCTGGTTGATGCAATGGCAGCCATATTGCACCAGAACTCCCACAATACACCAGCTTAACTAATATTTTATTCAATAGTACAATAAAAGATTGTTTTCAAGAATACAATCATTTATTTCAGAGATATAAAAAATATAATATCAAGTAAGTGTATTTTTCCTTACCTCTCAGGCAGAGTCAGGTAGGCTGTAGTATGTTTCCAATACATTCTTGTTCTCTCTCAACAATGCTCTAACATCACACGCAGATGACAACGCAATCTTGCTAAACGGCATCCTATCTGCACCTCTGTCATTTTCTGTGGGTCTCTGGAGATGTCAGTCAGCTGTCAACAAGCTTCATTCTGGCAATTGCTTCTCAGTGTACTCTTAGTATCTTGGGCTTGACTGAGACCTGGATTAATCCAGAAGACTCCGCAACCCCTGCTGTTTTCTCTAACAACTTCCCTTTCTCTCACACCTCCCGTCAGGTTGGAAGGGTACTGGTCTTCTCATTTCTAATAATTGGAAATACTCAACCCACTCTTCCCTATGCAATAAATATTCTATTGAGTTTCATGCTATTATGGCAACAGCTCCTGTTAAACTCCATATTGTAATGATCTATCGCCTTCCTGGTAAACTGGGCACCTTTATAGAGAATCTGTATGGGCTGCTGTCCTCATTCTCTGTGGATGGCAGTCCACTTGTAGTCTTTGGTGACTTCGAAATCCATCTGGACAAGCCTTACACTGCAGACTTCCACTTCCACTCCTAGCTTCATCCAAATGGCTTACCATCACAAGCACTAACAAATCAGGCAACCAGCTTGACTTAATTTACACATGCAATTGTATCACAGACAACATTTGGTAAAACATCTAGACATCTCTGATCATTTCTTTATTACATTTAACCTACATATTACTACCTGTGTGCCACCAATTCCTCTACCAGTTACTTTTAAGCAAAACCTACGCTCCCTTTCACCCTTCCATCTTTCCTCTGTAGTGTCATCCTCTCTTCCCTCACCCACCCATTTCTCATCTCTGGATGTAAATACAGCAACTGACACTTTATGATCCATTTAACTTCTTGTCAAGACAATATCTGTCTAGACAGGCCAGTGCATAATACCACTTCTAACCTAAAAAGTTGCCCCATGTATCATCATCTTTACTGTATTTTTGCTGAGCAGTCTTTTGGGTGGCTCACCAATGTACTAGATTTCTCAAATACCAAAAATTAAGTAGGCTTGACCAAAATTTTTGTGGGGAGAATGGGGAGAAGAATATGGTAGTGTAGCAGTTCTTCAATAACGATGTTAGCATGTCTTCCTTCAAACAATTTAAACAATTTTTGAATCCTAGCTTCTCCCAAAGTTCTGTCTGTGGGATATTATTTTATACCTGAAGACAAAAGGGCTAGAAACCAAACTGTTAGGACCTTCCCGCTGGAGATCCTGCAATCTACAAGACGTTCCTGAGAAATTATGTTCCTTTGTTATTCTAATGGCATGGACCATTTGGTTCACACCTTTATAGACTCAGTTACATTATTTCTTTTACAGAATGACCAACTGAACTTTAACCAATCAGGTTTCAGCAGCGGCCATTCAAATGAGACTGCTTTGCTGTCGGTCACTTTAGACCCTTGTCATTTCTAGGCTGGACTATTGCAATGCTCTTCTAGCTGGACTTCCATCAAGCACAATCAATCCTCTACAAATGATTCAGAATGCAGCGGTACGACTGGTCTTCAACGAGCCCAAAAGAGCCCATGTTACACCTCTCTAGTATCACATATTTACAATAGTCCATATTATGGCTATTCATTTTTTCTTTGTTTGGTAACTAATATTTTATTCAATAGTACAATAAAAGATTGTTTTCAAGAATACAATCATTTATTTCAGAGATATAAAAAATATAATATCAAGTAAGTGTATTTTTCCTTACCTCTCAGGCAGAGTCAGGTAGGCTGTAGTATGTTTCCAATACATTCTTGTTCTCTCTCAACAATGCTCTAACATCACACGCAGATGACAACGCAATCTTGCTAAACGGCATCCTATCTGCACCTCTGTCATTTTCTGTGGGTCTCTGGAGATGTCAGTCAGCTGTCAACAAGCTTCATTCTGGCAATTGCTTCTCAGTGTACTCTTAGTATCTTGGGCTTGACTGAGACCTGGATTAATCCAGAAGACTCCGCAACCCCTGCTGTTTTCTCTAACAACTTCCCTTTCTCTCACACCTCCCGTCAGGTTGGAAGGGTACTGGTCTTCTCATTTCTAATAATTGGAAATACTCAACCCACTCTTCCCTATGCAATAAATATTCTATTGAGTTTCATGCTATTATGGCAACAGCTCCTGCTAAACTCCATATTGTAATGATCTATCGCCTTCCTGGTAAACTGGGCACCTTTATAGAGAATCTGTATGGGCTGCTGTCCTCATTCTCTGTGGATGGCAGTCCACTTGTAGTCTTTGGTGACTTCGAAATCCATCTGGACAAGCCTTACACTGCAGACTTCCACTTCCACTCCTAGCTTCATCCAAATGGCTTACCATCACAAGCACTAACAAATCAGGCAA